CAATTCAAACAGTTGAAATCTTGTCATCAATTTTTCAAATGTCAGAGAATACAAGAAAACTCATGTTCACAATAATAAGTTTGAAGGATGTTTAAAACTTGTTTTGCTTGACCTAGTGTAGTAGCTATGATTTCAAAGAGATGAGAGTCAGTGGATTAGAAATAAAGTCACATAAGAATAAAAATACTAACATTGACCAGATGCATTAGGGACTTTAGATGAACCAAAGTCAATGAGTAAAGTAAGTGCCTCTACACCAGGTGGCATCAAATCAATAGTCCTTTCAAGACACCAGACAACAAGTTTAATTTGTTTGAAGGCAAATCAAGAGTCTCAATCATCAAATTGTCAAGGAATTCTGGACACACTCAGAAAGCTACTAAGATATTTTATGCTGAGGCGGACAAAAGCAAGCCACCTACAAGATTTACCTCCTATATACCATGAGACCATTTTATTGGATATACATCCCCAATTCAAACAAGTATATCAGCAACATTACCAAAGATTTATTCAGGAATTCGGTAGGGACTCTCAAATCCAACATAAATGATTTGATGAGGATTGCAGAAGATTGAGGACAGTCAAAGAAGATTAAGGGCGGTGGACAAAGAATACAAACAAAGAAGAAGATTGAGGATGGTTGACAACAAAACTAGAAGATCAAGGATGGTTGACAAAGAAAGAAGAAGATTGAGGATGGATGACAAAGATTGAAGAAGATCAAGGATGGTTGACAAAGATTGAGGAAGATCGAGGACGGTTGACAAAGATTGAGGAAGACCGAGGACGGTTGACAAAGAAAAAAGAAGATCGAGGACAGTTGACAAAGATTGAGGAAGATCAAGGACGGTTGACAAAGATTGAGGAAGATCGAGGACGGTTGACAAAGATTGAGGAAGATCGAAGACAATCAAAGAGGATTGATGATGATGAAAGAGGTTTTGGAGGAGAGCAAAACAGGAAGCAGGTACTTTGAAGCTCTTGAGACAGATGGTAGAATGTCTCTGGTTGGAGCTGTTGATACCTGTGAGACCGAGCTTGTAGCTAGTTGGCCAAAATGTGGTTTTTGGCTGCAGTAGAATCTAACATTGGTGTTTGAATTGTACAGTTTGAGAAATGTATTTTTTGGTTTTTGGTTTTCGATTTTTGGTTTTTTGATTTTTTGGTTTTTGGTGTTGCTGGTACTTTTTGTCGAAAGGTGACAATGCAATGAAAACGGTGTTGACTACTGGAAATTTGGGCAAAAAGGGGTTTCTGCCATGACTTTTACCCCAGTACAGGGGTTTTATCCCTGTATTTGAGTATTTTCTGTAGTTTTGTTCTTGATTTTTGAATTTTTCACCCGGGAATTGTGATTTTTGATTTTTGAAATTTCGCATTGTCACTTTGGAACGTCTCGCATTCCGTAGTAAAGCTTTCAAACAAATACCAGTTACGAAAGCCTCACCAAAGAAAAAGAAAGTAGAATTGACCTACATAGAAAGAAGCAATAGTGAAGGACAGTTAGTCAACCCTGTGTATTTAGACGCTTTGAAAAGCAAACCAACAAGCTATGAAAGTAAGTTATCTTATATTAAATATTAAGATTATAATCATAACTGATATAGTTATTCCATAACTATTAGGAGACTCGGTGATATTAGATTCAAGAGACGAATTCAATAACAACATAGACTTGACAGATAAGGATGAAGTCTTCAAGAAAGCAATGAGCTTAACGATGAAAGGAGACGGTTTTGGCGCATCGAAATATTTGAAAGTCTACGAATCATTAAGTCGTTTAGGATCCAATCAGCGACCCTCAAACAAGAGAGCTACATCAGCCAACCCAGTTTTAGAAGAGAATCGTACTGGGAACGAAAGATCAGATGGTGGTGTTTTCGAGAATGGAATGTGGTTCTTTCCAGGTAAGAAACCTAAAAGATCATTGATATGAAAATCTCGATATACTGATGAGGAATCATTATAGGGAAAACATCAAATTATCAAAATCGAAGTTATACGCCATACTTCGACAAGAATATCAAAGAGTTACGCTACCCAATTCCATTAACAATCTTCGATAAAGATTGGCAAAACAAAGCCATGGGTTATCATGTAAGGAAGAAAACTAAGTCAGTAGAAGGAGAGTTGAAGAGCGATTCTTATACTGGTCTTCCATACAGAGACGAATGGTTATTGGACTACGGAGAGTGGAGTATCCATTATAATGGATATATAACTGCTTTGAGAAATGCTAAGTTTGTTAAATTTGTGGAGTGGTCTTTAGCTCATAAAGCGAACGTCGAGAAAGTATTGTCATTGATGGGCTGGATGACAGCTTTGAAGTATGACATCAGAGTACGAGAAGAAGCTTTAATAAATAGAGTAGAGGTCGATGGATTGGTGGCACCACCAGATATATCAGAATATAATCAAGTCTTAGCAGAAGAATGTTTCGGAGAAACTAGATTAAGAGGTAAGTATTAAGCCTTACAAATTAATAGTGAACAAAGGATATTGACAGTCGTTTTTTAATTCGAAATGATAGATGAATCTTTGTTTAAGAAGGATCCGTATGTAGAAGGCGGAGAGAGGTACGGTTGGGACCCAGCAACCGGTAAACCTCCAAAGAAATTGGATCAATTCAAACAGAACAAACCTTATCAAAAATGGAACAACGAACCACAAGCGAGTGGCAGCAACTATAACGACCAAACTACAGTGGGAAAGAAACCATTCGAAAAGAAGAAGTTCGTTAGAGGTTATCAAGGAAATAATTTCGATGAAAATTATAAAGATAAGAGAGCCGCGTTGATGGCTAATAAGAACAGTAACTCACATCAAACTCCTAATAAGTAGGTAGTATTTCTAAATCGTTGTTTTTTCTCCCTCTTCTCAATCCCAACCTTGAGAAATTCCTTTTGTAATAGAAATGTGTGCAAAGCAGTAGCAATTTATTGATGTATGAAATATATGTTTGCCTTTTTCGTTCTTTTGTTGTGGAATAAAGCTTATTGAGTGCAGTTGTACAGTCTGATGAAATGGAAATAGACTTAGAGAGTTTAAAATCGTTACCTGACAACTGGCCGAAAGCAATAAGGTGTGAAATGAATGTAGCGAAATGGAGAGAGGCTTTAGAGAAACATCAAATGTTACCAGAGTATGAGGATGTTCCAGAAGGATTTGTTAGTGGTTTTGATCAAGGGATACCACACCACGAATTGCCATTCCCAAACTCGAAATATTTCACTCCCGATAATCACACCTCATCGACTTTAGCTTCAGAAAAGATTATTACGTCAATGAAGAAAGAAGTAGCTGCGAAACGTATGTTTGGGCCATTTTCACACGATCAAGTTAGCAAGGTATTCGATTTCTTCAGATCAAGCCCATTAGGAGCTGTAATCAACGGGGATGGTTCTTTACGACCAATCAATGATCTATCTTTTCCAAAGAACGACCCTCAAATAAGATCCGTGAATTCCTTTGTTAGCGCTGATGATTTCAAGACAACGTGGGACAATTTCAATGTTGTCGCAACCTTTTTCAAATCTTCGAAAACAGCTTGGCTATTAGGAGTTTTCGATTGGGAGAAAGCATATCGGCAAATCCCAACAAAAATGGAGCAATGGAGGTATTTGATGGTCAAAGATTTCGACGGTAATTTGATGCTAGACACGAGAATAACTTTCGGTGGCGTGGCTGGATGTGGATCATTCGGACGTCCCGCTGATGCATGGAAACAAGTCATGATGAAAGAATTCGATTTGATCACAGTTTTCAGATGGGTAGATGATAACTTATTCATCAAGAGAACTGGATCAACTATTGAAATGAAACAAATAGTGGAAAGATCACAAGAACTAGGAGTCACGACGAACGTGGAAAAGCTGTCTAATTTCGGACATGAGCAGAAGTTTATTGGTTTTATTTGGAATGGCTCAAATAAAACGGTCCAATTGCCAGATAATAAGTTGTCACAGAGGAAAGAACAAATCGAAGAGTATTTGGTTCCAGATGCTTCCATCACCTACGACAAGTTAGAAATTTTTATCGGAAGGCTAAATCACGTGACTTATATCTTACCCCAATTAAGATGTTATTTAAATAGTTTGCATCGGATGAAGAAAGAATGGGTCAATCGATTTGCATCAAGAAAATTGCCATCAGACGCAATAGAAGATCTACAATTTTGGTTGGAGACTTTGAACAATTTTAGAAATTTAAGATTGATAGCCACAAAGACACCGAAGGAAATTATGTGGGTCGGCGACGCGTCTACCTCCTTTGGTATAGGTGTATTGATAGGAACTAAATGGAATCAATTCAAGCTAATAGATGGATGGGAACAGAGTGGTAATTCAAAACGCGGCATCGCTTGGTTAGAAACAATTACTATACGTCTGGGTTTCCTGCTGCTTCTTGAAATGAGGGTATTACGAGGTCAAAATCTGATCGTTTGGACAGATAACACGACTTCCGAAGGAGTGCTACGAAATAAGAAATCCAGAGACAGAGAGGTGAATGACGAATGGAAAATTATCCAGCGTTTGTCAATCGAAAATGATATGACCCTACACCCGATGAGGGTGACTACTGAAGATAATGACGCGGATGAATTGTCAAGGGGAATTATCGGCGATCACGCCAACGTCGACAGGGTTTTCATTACCCTGCCAAGGGACTTGGTTGGTATAATCAATCAGGCGGTAGTCATAAGGAGGGTACATGCTGAGGAATTATGATGTGAATTTGGTTTGCAGAATTTATCAGATAACGTGTACAAACTTAACCTACACGAATCCCCATTTCTTCGAGTTTTCCTTTCGAGCTGTTGGCATGTAGCCTGGTCTGCATACCCCCTTACTTTATTTTGCTCATGATGGGCAAGCCTTGAGGTTTGAGCGCAATGCAATCCCCTTTTTATCCCGTTCCTGATGTTTCACGGTATTTCGAGTACAATGGTGAGACCATTTGGACTCCCCTGATCAACGGGTATTAATGTACACCTTGACTGGTCACCGGATGACAGTTGACTGGTGCCTTTTGACATCAGGCGAAACCCTGCTTTATTACCTTTACACGCTTGTTATCCTTCGTGTCACTTCGTCAACAAATTTATCTTACTCACCCGAACTTGGTTCAAGGGCCCTTGGGTATGTATGATGTTGCGTAATCTGACTAAGAGACATTTGTTTGTAAACTGATTTTATGCGTGTATTGTTGGCAGGATATGAGTCACCTTCCTCACTTGCATCTGAGGGAGTTCCTGTCAGGTAACGGAACAAACGAATTGTCAGATATCGACTTGCACTTACTGAACGGCTGGCGACCGAACACCCTGATAAGCTACAATAGCGCGGTCAAGAAATTCCTCCGTTACCTTGACAGCAACAACACGGAAGGTTTTGTTTTGCCAGCAAGCCCCAATGACATTTATGGGTTCTGTTTTTGGGCAGGACGAACGGAGTTGGGATCGAATGGCAACGAGGTCAACTCCAAGACCCTCAAGAAATACCTCTTTGGACTCCAGGCTTGGCATCTCTTTCATAACGTGCCTTACCCTCATGTCGTGAAGGATTGAGTCAAGGTTCTCCTACGAGCATCGGCACAAGCAGACGCCTTGCTGCCCACTCGCCCTCCCAAACCAGCCGTAATGGTTAAGCATCTCATCGCTTTGTCCGACGACCTCGACAAAGATAACCCAAAAGATTCTGCTATCCTAGACTGCGCGATCTGCGCCTTCTGGGGCCTCGCACGCTTGGCGGAACTGACATACGATATATCTTATGGAGAAACACCTTGGATCAACTTGATCTGGTGCAGTGATGTGACTCGTTCCACTACGGTCTTGAACTCCTTGACTCTACATGTCAGAGGTGCCAAGACCGCAAAAGCAGGCGTTGCTCAGATCATCTTACTTAACGGCCAACCGAGTTTCTTGTGTCCAGTACGTGCAGTGTTGCGACGGCTGGCGACGTCCTCGACAGGTTCAGACTCGCTGTTTGGTTATTTGGACTCGAGCGGACTTCGGCATAACCTCACTCGAACAGCTGTTGCCACCAGATGTATCCAAATTTGGGAGGCACGTGGGTGGCACGGAATTTCTGGACACTCCTTTCGCGTCGGGGGCGCGTCCTTACGGGCCGCTCTAGGCATTCCTCACGAAGACATTATGTCCCTCGGGCGATGGACATCGCAGTGCTACCGTCTCTATCTTCGCGAATACTCACCGGAGGAGACGAACGAGACAGTGGCTTTGCTGAACTCGAGTTCTTCCTCGAATGCCCGCTGAAAGGAGAGAGGAGGAATAGGTTCGCACAAGGTGGGGGTTTCGCTTAGGCTCAGGCTTGTTCACAAACCCGAGTGTTGGGTGTTTCACTAACCCCCCTTCTTGTGCGGTTTCCTTGGCACAGGCGCTTTGCTCTGCGTGTCAGATGGCCATCGCCTTCCCATCACGACGACGCGTTGACTACCGCTGCTCCTGGGGCTAGACCCTGGCGCGGTTATCAGTCAAGTCGTCGTAAGGGTTAAAGGCGAAGGCACCTCTTCCCCCACACCCCATACAACCTGTATGGCGAACGCGCTAGTTATAAGCTAGACATAGAGTTGTAATAGAGTCTTAAAACTTGTGAAAGACACAATCAAATAGGAGCTTAGAGACATGACTTAGTCGGCGTAGCCTGCTCCCCAACCATGGCTCATAAATGCGTGAGACAGAAGAGCTGAGAGACACTGACCGTCACGAATGGACCTTAGATCCATTCACCTGAGTGTGGATTTTCATTCACACTCAGGTGAATGAAAAATAGTGGTAACATGATTACACGTGTTCCCACTGTTCTCATGTTCCGGATTGATGACCTTATATCCATTCACCTGAGTGTGAATGAAAATTCACACTCAGGTGAATTTAAAACAGTGGTAACATGATTACACATGTTACCACTGTTCTCTTGTTCCGGAACATGTGAAGGGTGTGCCATAGGGTAAATGAGGCTCCCTTATTTCCAAAATCCACACAGTTTCCAGGCAGCTTTCAATTTGGAAAAGTTGTGGGGTAAAAACATCTTGACAAACAGGTATGCGTGTGTACCTGTGCAAATATTGTCAGCCCTGGGTACATATACATGTACCCAAAACTAACTTATAATATAGAACTTTCACTTATAAACCTAATTACATGTACATACAGCTTATAAAACACATGTAACATATAATAAAACATATACAAACACCAATTACATATACATATACATTTAAAAACATATGTAACATGTAATAAAACCCCAATTACACCTCATAACTCAGTGTCAAGAGTTAAAATGCTTATACTACATAAATTACATAACACGTCTATGTAATTATGTAATACTAATAATAATAATAATAATAAATAATCATTAAACCCTAAACCACAGTAATGATACAATCAAATATCACTACAATTAGGTTTGGAGAGGAGAGTATATAAACCCCTCCTCTCTCAGCCTTCAAGAACTTTCCCCCAAGCATTTTATTACACACCTCTTTTAAAGAACCCTTTAAAGTTCAATTGAAGTATATAATCAAGAGTCTTATAACAAATAAGACTAGTGATTCACTTCATCTCTTTAAGGAAGTTCCTGACTAGAAGACAAAGTAATTTCATCCTTCATCCTTTTTCTTTGGATCCTCTACTTCCCCCAAGTAGAACCCTTCCTCAGGTTAGTGACCTTCCAATAAACATTAAGGTTAGTCACCTTCAGAACAACTAAAGGTTAGTAACCTATATCAACTCATAGGTTAGTGTACCTCCAGAACAACTACAGGTTAGTGACCTACAACAACTCCAGGTTAGTGACCTTTTGAATAACTAC